TAGGAAAGGGTTAAAAAGGACCAAGAAGCTGTTGAAAAGGAGACAGGGTGGGCAGGAAGGAGAAGCTGCAGACAGAATGCCTTTTCTAACCTCGGGGAGGTTAACCATAGTGTGAGCTCATAGAATCTAGGGTTGCAGGCCTCACACCAGAAGATTGTCCAGAGGGCAAGTTCAGAGGCTGGAGATTCCAGTTCCAAATCTCCCACCCCTGGGGCTTTGGGTGGACTGTCAAGCCTAAAGCCCAGTCCTTCAGTAAAGGACTCTTTAAACATACTGCCAGTGTGCTCTGCTTGCTAACAGCAAGGCAGCTCTGCTGTATGCTGCACCATCCCTTCCTTCCACACGAGGAGTTCATGGGTGAGGCTGTTTGGACCTCAGATAATTGACTTGTTTATTAGTCTGTGTTCTAGTTCCCTTTTTTTCCACCAAGACTCTAATAAATCTTTATTCAAAGAGTACATTCTTGTCCCATCTGTGTTACTCAGAAAGAAAGGAATGGTGGGGTGAGGGAGTGGTGACCGGCTGTGTTGGTGAGGGGAGCCACCGGGAGGAGGAGTGAGTGCTTTGGGATCTAGCTGCCCCTTCCCATCTTGGGGCTCTCTCTCCATTAGGGACCTCGCAGGATAAGCTTTAGTTACATTCAGTGGTTACAAGACAGTGGTTTCCTTACAGCTGGGCCAAGGACAGGGAGCCAGGGTGTTTTGAAAATAGCTGGGAAGGAGAGTAGAAGGAGTAGAAGGCAAGAGAGTAGATCATTCATAGACATCAAGGCAGAACCGACCAGTCCTGGGAGGAAACAGAGTCACGCAGAGTGAAATAATTTGCCCAAGATCACAGTGACTCCTCAAGCAGTGCTTTCAGCTCTGCCCTGCCTGCCTTCCTGAGTCAAGGAACACCCATGTCTATGGCTCGAAGCAGTTTTCTCAAACAGTGAATGGAAAAGCCACACCCACAATACACACCTCTCCCCACACACTGTTCACGGAAGAGAGGTGTGAGGACATAATTAAACAAGGGTCAAGTTGACCCTCTGCCTCCGGGCTCATGTCCCGGGTGGAGAGGGCTGGTGCGGTCCAAACTGAGGCACGGATGGAAGGATTGCTGGGGCTTGGTTAGCGTAGAAAGATGACAGGAGATATGCTGCAGGGCACCAGGGGCAGGAGGGTGGAGGACTCTCAGGCAAGAGGAAAGCATGAGAAAAAAAAACCCAGGGCGGCGTGGAGGGTGCTGGCATCCATAGGGGAGATGGGCCAGGAGCCAGGAGGGGTGGAGGGGGAATGGCTGTGCCTGCAGCTGGTGGCTGGAGGAGTCTGGGGCCTGGACCTGGCCCCTGTCCTGGGGGGGTCCAGCCCTTTGAATTGCGTAGCTTCAGTGTGGACTGTGGGCAAGGAGTCCAAGAGGGACAGGGGTGGCGGTGGAGCGTGAGGGCTTTGTGTAGAGCTGACTCTGCAGTGGCCCTGGGCCTGGGCGGCTGTCCTGCCATCAGCTTCCCTCTCTCACTGGTGGGAAGGCAGGAGTGGCTGTTGCTCTGCAGCTTGCAGCCTGGCCGGCACGGGCAAACGTGGCCACCAACATGCTGACACAGGGACTTTGCAGGGTGGCACGCTCGTCTACGGTGGTAAGGGTGCATGGGATACACTGAGAGACTCTGGTTCTGAAGCCTTGTGGGGAGGCAACAACTGCCTTTCACCCCCATCACTGCCCCCACCCCCCGATGTTTCACCTGCCTGGCCAGCCAAGGTGAGGGCTTTATCATCTTTCAATCTTTGGTGTCAGTCACTTACACTTTGGTATAAACATAAGCCACTGTGTGACCTTAGGGACATTGACAGTGATGTCTTATCCTCGACTGTAGAATAGAAGGCTTTGCTTCCAGTTACAGGGATTTTAATCATCAAGGTAAGAGGTAGGAGATAATAAAAGTAATAATAGCTAAACGTTGCCAATGCTTACTCTGTTCCAGGTACTGTGCTGAGTGATTTGACATGGAATCTTTACAAAATTCCTAGGAGGAAGGAAGTACCTTTGGCATTGCCTTATATGACCAGCAAATGTGGCTTATTTACTCTACGTCAGTGGCTTGTATATTCTCAAATTGCTCGTATGAAATGGCACTTTGATACCAGGGTGTACTTACCTGACCATTATGTAATACTCCCTCCCAATCATGGGTGCCATTTTAGGTTCATGTAGAGCCCTCTGAGGCAAGTGGTTTATCCATGAACCCAATAGCTTGGCTATGCTGGTGACCTTCAACTTGGGCACTACCCACTGGGGACAGAACAAAGGTGCTAGGCCCCCCCTTCCTAGTGGCCAGAACAAAAGGGGGGGTAGGGGGAAGCGAGACTTGGGACTAGGTGGACGCATGGAGGCAGGAGTCTCATTCCCAGAGAGATGGTGGGCCAGGAAGTCCTTGAGAGGACAGAGGTACCCTTGATCTTGCTGGAAGGGTGAGTGTGGAAAGTCAGCTCCATCTCATGGCCCTGGAATCTAAATGGCTTCAGGTGAGGGTTGGTATTTGGTGTGGAGCACAGTGCCCCACAGAGCCAGCCCAGAGCCCTTCTGGGGACTGAGATTTAAGAAAAGAGGAGGGAGAGCCTGGTGGTGCTGGTTCTTGCCCTTGGCCAGGCAGGGCCATTGCTTGTACCTCTGGCCTCAGAGGCCTTGGCTACCATATTTGTTTCTTTCTGCCCTCCGTGCAAACGCAGGTTGGCTACCTCAGAGACCTGCCCCGAACCCATTGATTTGCCCATTGGGCCCCCTCACCCTTTCACTTCCTGCTCTACCTGCAAGGTCTTCCCCATCCTCACTTGTCCATAATGTCCATAATGACACTGACTTGGGGTGGCTCCAGCTCAGTGCTCAGGGACCCTGATGGCATGGGTGCTGTCATGATTGAGAGGATTACAGTGGGAGGAAGTTGGGAGAGATGTCCCTGAGAGCTGGGTATTGGAGGTGGTCCCGAGGCTAGGTAGGAGAAGTGAATTCCAGAGGATGAAGAGCCACCTGTAGAAGGTCAGAGTGGGGTGGGAGGGATCAGGCCATAGTCAGGGGAAATCCCCACCCTCATCTTCACCCTCAGCCACAGGGAACTCCTGGCTTGTTACTGCCCTTTGGGTGTTTAAGCCTAGACCAGACGGAGTTCTTGCCTCTTGGTGAGGGAATAACATTTGGGTGGGGAAAGGGATCAATATGGACAGGCCTGTGTTCTTTCTTGGGATTTTACTATTTGCAGTGACTTCAAAGGGTCCCCAGGATCAGGTTCTTAGCTGGGATGGCCTTTGCATTGCAGGGTTGAGGGATTTCCTGCTTCTGCCTGACCTCTCTGGGCATGTGGGCTGAAGGGAGAGGGGAGCAACTGGGGAGGGGTACAAAGCTAGACTGCCTATCCTATCTTCTCTTGGGCCCTCTCCCAGAACATGGGGCCTGAGTCCTTGGGCAGCACGTGGTCCTCTGCTGCAGAGGACACACACCTGATCCTGTCTTCCTGTCCACTGTTGGCCAGTTTCTCCTGAACAGAGGTACCTGGGTTGACTCAAAGGATCATTTGGCATTCAGGCTTGAAGGTTGTTGGTAACCATACAGTGCTATCTTGCCTGGGTGGAGTGGGAGTAGGATAGGGGCCTGGCATGGGGCTAGCTTAGATGGGTGCAGTTATTTCATCTCACATGGAAGTAAACACTTTGGGTTTCTGATCATTTCCCTGGGATCTAAGACTGGTTAAAAGAAAATCAAAGTCAGTCCTGGGATCCATAGCTTTGTGTTCCCCTGGAAGGGCTGGGGTGAGACCCACCTTAGGATCCATCCATCCATCTACGGCTGCTTCCTCCTTCTTTGTCTTTTTTTTTTTTTAAACATGTGCTAGTGCCCTTGGTGACTATTTTTTTCTGTCTGAAGATGAATGAAACAGCCTGATTTGAATGAGGGCCAGGGTCTTGTCAGGGTGAGTATGCAGGTTGGGAATTTGTGTTTGTGAGTGAGTGAATGAGTGAGTGAATGAGTGAGTGAGTGAGTGTCTGTGTGTGTGCCTCTAGTGGGACATGGAATATCCAAGAAGGTGGTGGAGGAGGGAGGACAACTTGGTGGCTCTCTGGCTCCCACTGCAGTGAGAAATGCTCCCTACTGCTCATAGGGGAAACAGCACCCAGAACTCTTCACAGTTCTCAATAGGTCCAGGCTCCCAGGTCCCTGTAGATGCCTTGGTAACTGCTCAATTCTCCCCTGGTTGCTTGTGTTTCTTTGGGGGTCTTCAGGCCTCTGCCTCCTGCACGGGTGGGGTCAAGTGGAGGATGTGGACCTGTAGTGTGGATGCTCATGTCATGAGAGTTTTGGGGCATTGAGGCTGCTTTTACTTGAGCCTGCCTGTCACCATGGAGGCCTCCAAGCTTCTGGGTCTGGCCCCCTGGCAGGTCTCCAGTGAGGGGCACTGAACTGTCTCAAAGAGAGACCAGTCCTGTGGGGAGAGGCTTGGACATGCACTGTGAATTCGGAGTGGCTGGGACAATGTGTTGACCTGGTGACTTAGATAGTGGGTGAATACTGTCTAAGTCACCCATGGTATTCACCATGTGTATGGTGAATACACATGGAGCATTGTCCTTTAGCTTCTCTCTACCTTGGAAGGGGACAAGGTAGAGCTCAGCAGCCCTCAGGGCTTCTGCTGGGCAGTCTGTCTGAGAGGAGGGCTCTCCACTCCCAACTCAGTTGGGGTCATCAGCAGAGAGGCTGGGCTGGGAATAAGCTATTCAGTTCTACTCTGAGTTCTTTTCTTGCTCTTTTCCAAATGCATCGCAGGGTGTGTGGTAGAGTCCGTGTGGCAAGCCTACTTCTTGGCCAGAGCCCCAGTGACTGTCCTGAATGTGTAGGGGGCCTTCCTTGCAGGAAGAGGGGGCAGAAGTGTTCATTTAACAAGCACAGGCCAAGGACTTTCCCACATTCCTGCCCCCACGTCCCCAGCCAGGCTTTGTCCCCACATCATACTGAGTCCTCTTCTCTCTGACTTTTGTTCTGAAGTACTTTTATTCTGAAAGAACCAAGGCCACTGGAAGTAGGGAGGTGCCAGAGGCAGAGAGCTGGCCCTGAACTTGAATAGGCCCTATCCTTCTGGGACAGGGCAGTGATTCTAGGATCCTAAGGGAGGGGCCTTGCTGTTCTCAGTTCTCCCTCTTATCCTCTGTCCCCAGTCTTGCTGGATTTTAAGCAGAGGGTCTCTATAGCCAGGTTCGTTGGTCTTTTTCCTATCGTTGCCTTTGCATCCTCATGAATCTCATCCTTCTAGCCTTTGGTCTTGTATCTTTTGTCTGCTACCCTTCTCAGTCTTTTCTGGCCTTCTTGCTGCCTGTCCTTCTCAAAGCAGACATGCAAGCCAGGTCACTATTTAGAAAGTCCCTCAGTACTGTACAAAGGGTCTTTCCCAGTCACCTCCTTTCCCCCAGCATGTAGGATGGAAGTATAAGGCATGTATAAGGAAGTGTATGGCATGTAGGATAGCCATAATGCAATTAGATGTTGGTAAACTGAACTCTTTGTGGGTGGGGCTGTGCCTCGGGCATGGTTCTGTTGAGCATATGAGGCTTTTTCCAAAATAAGGACAAGGAAATGGGCAAAAAGGCTCCACCATTAGTTCCTGTTTAAATTCTTGAATCCCAGGCAGTTTTGCAAAAGATCCACCAGGATAGGGTTTCCACGAACCCCCAAATGCTCAAAGCTTAGATCTTTCTTAGATGGAAAATAGGAGGCCAAATAAACTAAAGACAGTTGAGATCGGTTATTCTCAAGGGCCCTTTCCCCTTTGCCTGTTTCTTTCATCCAGAGGCCAGACCTTGAACTGGATATGACGTCACTATTGGGCAGTGGAGTGTGTGAACAAAAGGACTTTGGCCTTGGGGGCTGCAAGTTATAGATTAACATGGGGAGGGGTGAGTGATGGGAAGTGGCCTGAGAAAGGGATTGATGACCTAGGACAATCCGGGCTTGAAGGGGCACAAGCAAGAGGAGTCTGGGGACCGGTGCTGTCTGGAGCAGCCCTCAGCTCCTCTCCGGCTACTTGACCTTCCTGAAGACCTGCTCACACACAGCATCCCTTGCAGTCAGTTCCTGGGGACAGAGTAGCAGTGATGAGGGGAAAGAAAGTTCTTGCCAGCTGGAGCTCCTTTCTCAGGGTCTTTGACCTCCGTTTAATCCTTCAGAATAAATCAACTAGAGCATTTGATGTATGAGGAATTGTATCATTGTTCCAGACCCTCAACTTCTCAGCCCAGAGGAAGGAAGGTAGCTGGGTCAGGGAATGGGAAATGGTGAAGTCTCCATCTCTCCAGTCATGATTTATGGACATTTGTTTGACTTGGAGCCAGGGCCCATCTTGGCTACTCTATTTTACCCTCTCTCTCCTCTTCCCAGTGCTTGTGTTTCCCTTCCTTGGTTGTTGTCTTTGGAGATGGGGGCATGGTGTGAAGTAGTAGACTTATCCAATTTGGGCAAAGGGATGAATCTTAGCTGGAGGTCTCTCTCCTAGACATACTCATTTGGGTCCCCCTTTCCAGACCTCACCCAGCTTACCAGGTACAAATTCTCTCCTTCCAGCCAGTGCCTCCAGCCTCGGTTGGGCACCTCCCCTTTCTGCACGCAGACCAGCTGCTCCTCCTCCCAGGTTACTATGGTCTATAGGCAAGGCAGGAATAAAGGAAGACTGAGGGGCAGTCCCACTCACTCTGGCTGGGCTGCCCCCTTTCACCCCACAGTAGGTACTGTCTTGCTCTCACTGTTTCATTCTGAGAGAGAAAGTTGCTCTGTTTTAGGATTTCCATCCCCCACTCTTAAAGGCCACTGAGGGGGCTGGCCCACAGTGTGTCTACAGTGGAGCAGAGCAGAGATGGAGCAGAATAACCTGGGGTGAAATTGGCGAGTGGGTGATGAAGAACGGAGACTTTGTCCTCTGGATACTTCTGGTTGACCTGGGAGGAGCTTTGGGAGAGAAGATAGATAAGTTGGGAGTCCCACCAGGGAATCTCTTCCTCTTTCCCAATTTCAGGGACAGCTGGCGTGTCCCTCCCTGAGATGGAAGGATCAAACCCCCTAAGTCAGAGCTGGTTGGACCTGGGCATTCCAATCAACACTTATTGAGCCTTCCATAAGACAGACCCTGCTAAGTGAGGAGCTCAGAACCCTGATCAGACAGAGCAGCAAATGGGTATCCGTGATACCAGGCAAGACTGTCGAGGATGGGAGTGAGGAAGGAAGAGCAGAATCTTCAAGGAAGTGAAGAGTTAATTAGATTGGAGCTCATGGGAAATTTTTAGCAAGGAAAGTAACAGCATAGAGGCAAGAGAAGAGGGCAAACAGTTCTCAGAGGCTCTAACCTAGTGCGCATGTGGGAAGGACCCTCGTGGGCCGTGTACAGCCTATGGACCTTATCTGGAGTGTAGCAGATTGTCACTGAGAGGGCTAATTTCGGGCACCGGGTGAGAAAGGATGGCCTGCATAGGATGGTATGGTGAGGAAGGCTGGGAAGGAACAGACGAGAGCTATGAGGAACAGCAGTGTTTGGTAGACACATAATGGGCCTTAAATGCAAGCCTGATACATAATCGAAACAGTTCTAGTAGCTCTGTTAGAAAAGTAAAAAGCAACAGGTAAAATTAACTTTAATAACATATTTTATTTAACCTAAATCATCCAAAATATTATAATTTTAGCATGTAATCACTATAAAAATTTATGAAATGTTTTACATTCTTTTTTGTATTGTCTTAAAAATAAAGTGTGTACTTTATACATGTAGTATGCCTTAATTTGGACTAGTTACATTCTGAATGTTTAATAGCTATCTATAGCTAGTAGCTCATGTGTGGGAAGGTGCAGAAAAGTTATAAAGACTTCTTGACCAGTTAGATGTGGTGAACGTGTGTGTGTGTGTGTTTGTGTGTGTGTGTGTGTGTTGGGAGCCCAGAAGTAAGGGGTCATGAGATATTGACTGTAACTCCCAGCTCTTTGGTACTGTTAGTTATTACCATTAATAGAGACAGGAAATATAAAGCTGGAATAGGTTGAGGTAGGAAGATAATGACTTTGGGTTTAACCTTGGGACATGCAGATGTAAACATTTTGCAGGCAGTAAAAAATTTGCCCTGGAGCTCAGGAGGTAGCTCTGGCTGAAAAATACACATGAAGGGCAGCCTGTAGATGGTAGCTGAAAGCAGGGGTGTAGGTAACTGGGCCCGTGGATGGTGTCCAGACAAGAGAGACAACATCAAGAATGAAATACGGGGGAAAAACCAGTTTAAGAGATTATTACGGGAATCTAGGGTCTGCAAAGGAGACTAAAAGGAACATACAAGAAGCAGAAAGAAATGCAGGAGAGTGGATTTATAGAGGAGAAGGGGAAAAAGACCCTGTGGTGATGAAGAGGGTCAAAGGCTAAAGGGTAAGCAAATGTTTGCTCCTTGGCTTCAGGGTGATCTGCTCTTTTTGTCCTTTTGGCTGGTGATAAGAGCCAGGCAGGGAGAGAGTGGGAGTGGGGAGCACCAGGAGTCCGTTATCCTGGGGACTCTGCAGCCTGCTGTGGGGGTCATTTCCCCTGCTGTGTCTGGGTGAGGTCAGATGGAATGTAGCAGATTGTTATGGAAAGGGTTCAAGCAAGGGAACGACAGGTTGCTTTTACGTGTTAGAGAGGTCCTTGTGGCTACAGCGTGCAGAGTGGTTTAGAGAAGGGTGAAGACCGAGGGCTAATTCTGGGCACCGGGTGAGAAACGAGGGCCGGCACAGGATGGTATGGTGAGGAAGGCTGGGAAGGAGCAGAAGGAACATTGCTTTGCCCCACATTGTTAAGAGGCACCTACCTGCTCATCCACATCCCCTCCCCCAAGCCTGAGGAAAGGTACCTGGCATTTTCGTCCATCCACTGCCCTTAGGTCCTCCTCAAACTCCACTCCCACCTCGAATTCTACAACATAGTTGCGGAAGGTGCTGAGGGTCTTCACTGTCATGTGGTTGCCCTGATGGTCAATCTCCTTGTCAGGCTTGAGCAGCAGCGCTATCTTCCGCAGAGCCAAGTTGATGTCTGTGGAGGTTATCTCTCAGCCAGGGCCCTCTTAGGCCGCCAGCCCGGGCTTCCCCCACCTGCAGCAGCACCTTGGGGCTGGGAACTTTCCCTCAGCTGGGTCCAGGCTATGGATTTACTCCCTCCCAGCCATGCACCTGGCTAGAGATGGATCCCAAGATAGGTACCAGCTCCTGAGCCTTTCTGCACTGTCCAACCCCTGCATGCCCCCTTCTCAATGGGATGGAGAGTCAGGAAGGGAGAGGGAAAAGGGAGAAAAAGGGGTCTGAGAGGGGTGAGGCCATTACTTAGGGCTTGCAGGTAATCCTCCATGTTCTTCTGCGAGACAAAGCAATAGTAGCCGGTGAGGTTGGGAGGCATTGTCCAGGCTGGCCAAGATGGCAATCGAGATGTCAGGAGAATGTAGAAGACAAGAGTGCGGAGGGAGGGCTGTTGCCTGGCAGGTGGGGCTGAGGGACTCCAGGCAGGCTTCCACACACAGAGACCGGCTTGTGTAAAGGTCTACGCTGACCAGGGTTTTTATAGAGCTGGCGCCCTGTTGCAATAAGAGCTCCTACCAGACTTCCTCCCTCCCCTCCTGATGAGTTTGGGCTGGTGTCTGCTGCCTGAGGGAGGGACAGGGACTTGGCAAGGTTGTGCTTGACCTTGGCTTTTCCTGAGGAAGGAACCTGGAGCGGGATCTAGGGCCGTCAGTCATCCAAGACTTGAGCCTTTCCAAAGGTCAGCTTGGCTTCCAGCCCATTTCTGGAAAGCTTGGGAACCACTCCAGATCCCTGGGGAGGTGGTGCCCCCTGGGAGGGGTCTGGTCTTGCTGTGCGGAGTGTGAGTTCTTCCAGGCTCACCCCGGGATGAGTTCTAACGACATCCTGAGATCCTGCGACTGAGTCAGGGTTCCCCACAATTACGAAGGTAGAAGGTGGGGGAAGGAGGAGGACAGCCAACTGGCCAAGAGCCAAAGTGAAGAAATCCGATAGCGCTGCCCCCCACAACTCCTCCAGACAGCTTCACGGAGCGGCACTCCAGGCTCTGTCCTACGAGGCCGTTAGGAAAGGAGGCGGCCACACTGCTCTTCCCAAGCACGGAGGGGCTGTCGGCAGCCTGATGAGGTGTGGAGTTCCAAGTCCAGAGCCGAAGGTGAGGGAGGAGTTTGGTTGGCTATTCTTCCTGGAGAATTTTACATTCTTTGGCTGGGACCCAGGGGTTTCCTTCTCCCCAGGCCCCAACCCTTGGACAGCCCGTGCTTAACTGTACTCCCGTGGTCGGGGGAGGTGTGCCTAAACTATGGAGTGTCCCGCCCCCAACTCTCCCCACCTCTCCAGCCTACCAACTTCTGTGGCTTAGAATCAACTGGGCTGATTTATCATGGTTTACGGTGGGAAATTCGGGAGCAGGGAGGCAGGGAGGGTAGGCAGTGGGAAAAATTACACCTGGTGGTGAACTGCCTCGACAGGTGTGTGTGTGTGTGTGTGTGTGTGTACGCGCGCGAGCGCAGCACAAATATTGCACTTTTTCTCCAGTCCCACTGCCCTGCTGACCATCCCATGGTTTCCTCAGCGAGACCTGGCTGGGGCTGGAAACTGAAAGGCGAGGATCTCTCGGGTTCAGACTGTGGGTTTTACTTCACGGTTCCCAGGAGGCACGCAGCAGGGACTCGCTGATGGAATGGGATGTGTAAAGAGGTTAATGCAGAGTTGGGGGTGGGGTGACGTGGACGCTGCTTCTCGCCTCCCTCAGGTCTCCGGTGACGTCTCCCTTCCCCACCCCCGGGGCTTTTAGCTTCTCGATTCTCTCAGTGTCCGTCTTCCCACCCCTCCACGGCTTTCCAGCTTCCTCCCCAGCCCCCGCAGTTTCCTTGCTCCCACAAATTGCAATCCCGGGAAAGAGCCATAACGCATTCTCCCACCCCAGCTCCCCCGCGCATTGGTTTTCTCCCTCCCTGCAGCACCTGGCTCTCCCAGTCAACCGATTGGCCTGTGGCCCCATCAATCTTCGTCTGGCTGTGCTTACGTCATCCTGCAGTAGAGGGGATGGGGTGGGAATGAGAGAGAGAGCGAGAGCAAGCGAGCTAGGACGCGGGGCTGGAGAGCGAAAGAGAAGCCACTGCAAGTCCCCCACCGCAACCACCCAGGTTGGGGTCTGCCCAGGTCTGCTCTATGGACTAATGCGGGGGGCAGGCTCCTTTCTGTCTCTGCCCTGCTGCCTGCTATCTTCCCTCCCCTCGCTGCATCCCTCCCCCAAGGTGCAGTAAGGGGGCTGGAGGCTCCCAGGGGAGAGTAATCGCCTGACCCTGCCCTGCCCTACACCACACCATACCATGACCCTCCTGCTGCTGCCCCTCTTGCTGGCCTCCCTACTTCCCTTCAGCTCCTGCAACAAAGGTGAGTGAAGTGGGAGGTGGGGGCACTAAGAGAGGGGTATCGGGCAGAACGGAGTGGGGTGGGGGTGGGCAGGAGCCATTGAGGCTCTCTGGCACATGACGCTCTTCCCACCATCCCCTTCCCATCCATTTCCTCAGACCTGCACCTTCTCCCTTCCTTCGCGACCCCTTTGCCACATCTTCCTGCCTGGTCCATCTCTGCCCATGTGCTGCTTCTGCTTCCATTTGGTCCCTATTCCCATGCTGGGGTTTCTCTCTCCCCCTCTCCCAAATTCTCTGTTGAAGATATCTCAGGTCTCACCAGGACTTGCCCTGAGGGGCGATGCCCGTCTCTTGGTGGTTCTCCATTTTCCCTGAGGTGTGCCTGCACTAAGAGTGTGTGGCAGATCCATCTGGTTCATCTCCATCCCATCCTGGGGAGAAACTCTGCCCTGCAGCTCAGCAATTCGGGGCACGTATGTTTTGGCGTGTTCCTCTGCATCCATACCCTTCTGCCTGCATGCAGCTGGGCTGTGGGTTACCAGAGCTGCCCTCTCTGGCAGACAGCAGATAAATTCAGCTGGGTGAGGCTGATAGAGGGACCAAGAGGGAGGGAGGGAGGGAGGGAAGGAGGGAGGGGTGGGGGAAGAGGGCTCAGGTAGGTGGAAAAAGGCAGGAAAGGGCAAAAGTGGGTATGTGGGGGGAACCAAATGAGTGGTGAGAGGGAAAGCTGAGAAGAAGAAGGGAGATAAAGTATGGGAGGGGGCCAAGAAGGGGCTGGAGAAGGGTAAAAGTGGAAGCAGAAAAAAGAGAGAGGAATGAAAGGGAAATCAGGAAGAATGGATGAGAAAAATGGGAGAGGGAGAGTCAAAGAAGGAAAAGACAGGGAGCCTAGGAAGGAGGGTGGGTGAAAGGAGGTGGACTCACGGAGAGAGTCGGTGGCCAAGAGGAAGAAGCAGGGTCAGGGGTGAGCGGTGCCCAGCACTGGCCTTGCTGTGGACCTCCCCTGCATCCTCACTCTCTGACCTCAGCCTGGCTCTGCAGCCTCCTGCCACTTCCTGTGCTGCCTTCTGAGCACCATCTTGTGGCTTTCTCCTCTGCCACTAGAGAAGGGGGTGTTGCCGGTCATCAGCAACAGAAGGGAAGACTTTCAGATACCCTAAGTCTTTTTGGGGGTGAAGTTGGAGAAAAAAGTGGAAATCAGGATTTCTTGCTCACCATGACATTCTGGGGATGAGTCTCCTTTGGTGACGCCCTTTTGGATGATGCCTTCCTCTGCCCACGTCCCACCGATGGGCCCTCGTGAATGTGCCTTGGGAGCCTGGGGGTCGCCATGACAGGGTTATATAGAACAGGCAGTGGGGATCGTGGCTGGGAGGTGATGTGGGAAGGGAAGGGAACGTGCTGTGCCTTCCTGCAGCCTCTCACCAGTGGGGAAGTGGGAGATTGGGCCTGGCAGGAGGCACAGGTGAGCCAAGTCTGGGAGCAGATGGGGAGATCTGGAGGCTGAGTGTGTCCTATTTCCACCCAGAACTGGCTGCTGGTTGAAGGGAATGGATGGGGTAGGTAAGAACTGAAACTAAGTTGTGAGTCTGTATAAAAAGTGGGGTCCAGGGAGCGTGGGTTTGGTGGATTTGCGGGGGGGACATAGAGATGGGTTGGTTATGAGTGCGTTCCCTTGGCTGTGGGGCTGAGAAGCGGGGAGGAGATCTGTCGTGTTTCTAGGCCAACTTGATAATCCCTTAGGATGATGGCTCTGCTGGGTCCAGTTATTTGACATCGATTCCTCTGCTCTCTCCCTGTCCCTCTCTGCCCCCCTCCCTCTGTCCTATATATTTTCTCTTCTCTCTTTCCTCCTCCTCCCTCTGGGAGAATGGCCTTAGGTTGGGGATTGGCTGGGAGAAGTGCAGAGTGAAGGGATCAGGTTTGAGATGGGGTGTCAGTGTCGGTGGCTGTGGTGGTGGAGAGGATAAACAATCAGAATCTCAGGAAACTTCTACATCTTCTTTTCCTAATCTCACCTCTTCCCTTAATCTATCCCTTGCCTTTCCCAGGGCCTTCTGAGGGCCCACCATTATTTCCTGAATCCCTTATCTCCAGTCTCTAGCACTTGAGGTCTCTAAAGAAAGTTTTCCACTCTCTGACCAAGTTTCCCAAGGGAGATAGGAGACCCCACTCTCCAGCGCAGGCTGTTGCCAACTTTCTATCTCGCCATAGAAGAAGGCTGTGACCTCCCTGAGTCCCTTTGACTCCTTTAATAGCTGATTTTTTTGTCCTCATTTTTTTTTTCACTGCAGGTGCTTCTGTAGGGTGTGGAAAGAGTGGTGATACTGGAGTGTGAGTTTGTCTAAGTCAGTGAGGGTTATGTGGGAGTGGAGGGCCAACTCACAGGTTCTTCCTTTCCTCTCCCTGGGCACCAGCCAACAAGCACAAGCCATGGATCGAGGCAGAATACCAGGGCATCGTCATGGAGAACGACAACACCGTCCTGCTGAACCCACCACTCTTCGCCTTGGACAAGGACGCCCCCCTGCGCTATGCAGGTGATGGGGGTTGGTGGATGGAAAGACGGGTAGGACAGAGAGAAGTGGTTGGGAGGGCAGAGAGCAGGGGAGGAGAGGGATGTCCTGGGAGGGAGAGCAATAAGGAAGTGGGGAAGAGGCCTTGCAAAGTGGAAGATAAAGTAGGCTTGGGGAGCCCAAAGGGCTACCTTGAAGCTGGTGGTTGAGTAGAGGTAGCCAGAGAGGGCATGGGCAGGCAGGGGTTAAATGCATCCAGATTTTGCCAGATCTCAGACCTGGTACCTCTGAGAGCTTGTTGCTCAGGAAAGCTAGTGCTGGAGCTGGATGCTTGCTAACTATGCTTTCACGTGCACGAATAAGGGGCAGGGGCAGGGGTTGGGGAGGAGAGGTGAAGTGGGAACCCAAGGCAGGGAGGCTGAGGCTGGAAGGAGATGCTGGAGATGGTGCGGGAGCCTCATCCTTCCCTACCTCCTCGGCCAGGTGAGATCTGTGGCTTCCGGCTCCATGGGTCTGGGGTCCCCTTTGAGGCTGTGATTCTGGACAAGGCAACAGGAGAAGGGCTGATCCGGGCCAAGGAGCCGGTGGACTGCGAGGCCCAGAAGGAGCATACCTTCACCATCCAGGC